TAATAATATGTCATTTAAGTAATGTAAATAAATATGACACATCCAATATTTATAGGTTACTTTGTGTATACTTTATTAGTTATAATCCGTAAAAAAATTTACATTCTGTAAAATCTTGAAAAATTGAATTTCAAAATTGATTTTATAACAACTGTGAATATTGTAATTTAAAAACTTGTACACTATTGCAAATATCAATTGACAACAGCCATATTTATTAATTTATGCTTCCAGATACCATGCGTAGTACTGCGACGCGAGCGACAGAATTAAATAATATCAAAGTGAAGAACGAGATCAACTATCGGTAACGTAGAAATTTTAGTATTCAACTCAGTAATTTTCAAATTTTGAAAGCCGTATTAGCGAGGGAGATTAATGGGGAAATAGTAAATTTCAATGAGTTTCAAATACATTGATATTTAATGTTTATTAATCAGAACTACCCATTTCTATTTATAGTAAGATCAATGCATTTTATGTCAACTATCAATAATTTTTTTCTTTAAAATATCAAAGTTTTCTGTATTGACTTTAAATATTGAAAATGTTTAAGCTATTTAGCTATATTAAAGTTAAAATTTTAAATCGCCAACTTTCAACTTATTAATTATAAAAACAGTTTCAAACTTACCTTAATATGTCATTTTAGTATCACTTATGATGCAACTTTAATATCATAATTTTTTTTACATAGTTAACGTACAAGAATATCAAACTCAAAACGTAAAGTCTGAAATTAGGGATTCCTGAAAGTTTACGAGTCTCTAAAGTCTAAGCAAAGTCGATGTAGAGAGTAACCATAATTGAATTTTAATTATTCATAAAACCGCGTCTACATACGGGAGCATTTTTCCCGATTAAATTAAAAGGCATTACAAAATTTCGGAGTAAAGTGTTTTAATCGAGCGTAAGTAAGCTTAGGACAATGAATAATTAAATAAAGAGTGTGTAAATTGAACAAGTTAAATAAGTGTGCTTGTACCGAGGAGAGACGAGAGTGTTAAAATGTATATATGTGCTCAGCAAAGTTGTCAAAGCATTGTAACAAAGTTTGTAGGTAAATATATAAAGCAATAGTAACAGTAATGGAAGTTTGTGTGAGTGAGATTGAACTAGCCCAGGGGACCCGATTCGAGCGAGTGGATTTACATATTACATACTCAAAGGTGTTGAGGTGAACACTCATTCGTATTAGTATTTGTATCTATGAATACTCACTACGACCAATATACAGCAGAGACAATTGTTGCCCTCGACGACTTAACGGGCAGGGAAGAGAGTTGACAGTAAATTTGACTGTTACATCAGGTTCTTTGGGTGAACTGAGGGGACATTAGTATTAGCGAGGCTGGTATAACCGCTGGACTGCTACTACTCCTCGACGGAAGTGATGTGATGGCGATGGCTATTGATAATACACCAGAACGCAGAACGGATCGAAGAATGAAGGGATTGTCTAGACGTCATCGTATTTATACTATACATACGACCTATCCTAAAGTAAATCTGCATAATTGATGTAGGAGTTGAATGGACGCTCGGAGAATGAGAAAACCCATTAGTGGCCAGCGGTCATTTATGCACTACCAATTCTATTGCTATTCCTCATTGATTTGTTATTTCATTATAAATCATTTCATTCATTTACATACTCTAATTTTATATTTTCAATTACTGGCCATTCAATTATTTTTGAAAGCTCAGTTAGTTAGTGAGGGATATGATTATGATGTATACAGAAAAAAAATTTAGTTAGAAAAAGAAAGTTTTTTGGCTTAAGAAAATTTTATTTTCTTTGAAATAAATTTTTTCTTTATAAATATTTTATTGAATTAAAAAAATCTATTCTAGAGCAAGAATTTATTTGTTTTAACTAGTATTTTTTAAAGTTGGGATTATTCACAGATTAACACATAAAATTTAATAACTTGATAGTTTAAAAAATTAAGAAAGTATTAACCTGTCAAAAATTTTTTATTTAAGGGCTCACTATTTTTTTGCAAGTAGGTTTTGTTTCTAAAAATTTTAAATAAAGAACGATGAAGCTCTAAAAAACGATTATCTTGGTTCAAAAATTTCTCAAAGACAGTATTGATATAAATTAGTCCAAAAATTAATAAATTGAATGATTGAATTGATACAAAAACTCGAAATCAGCAAACCCAAAATACGCTTTCAATATCAACAGAATTTTCTATGTCTTGGGTTCCCTTTTGGCGATAAACGTTCATCTGTACACACACACATATACAGAATGACTCGGTGGAACTAAACGAGTACGTGTGTAACTCGTGATCTCGTCAACGAGTCTACACTCTTATCTCAGTTCGAGCTCGATTGGGATTGGAAATAGTGTAGGTATTGGTGTAGAAAAAGTCGCCGGGTGGTGATCTCGAGAGGATCGGAATTCTAGGCTCCCGGATGCCACGATCGCGTGCTATATGGCTCGTCTGGATAAAGGACGATTTCGCAGTATGAAAAGAGATTGTGAGGGACGTGGAATCCCGACGTATTGTCCTCTGAGCTTGGGGATTTTCATCGGAAGAGCCACCGAGCTAAGAGCCTATTCCTATATTCCTTTTTTTATCTTTCTCATTCTCTTTACTTTATTTTTATCCAACTCTTACTTCCCTTGTTCCTCATTTCTTTTCTGAAAAAACTCATACAAGCATACGTCGTAAACGACTCTGCCAATATGCTCACTGTTCGCTGTGATTGTGGTGAAGTGTTTTATTACTTTTATACTTTTTCTTTATTCGTGTAATTTAAATTCAGACTTCAAAGCAACGTCTTGCTATTATTTAAACCGATTTATTTTATCTTCTCTTCTTTTTCGATTGATTTTTTTCTCCGTAGAGAAAAAAAAAATAATTGTGAATTAAATCGAAAATTAATTACTACTTTAAAATCACTTGAAAATTTTATCCAAAAAAAATTTGATAAAAACACAGACAACGTTTTAACGCATGATAGATGCTAAAATAATACTTTTATTATCGACATAGGGAGTTAAATTTTACAGACAATTGCAACTGAGTAACATACGTTTCTTTGTCAGGGTGACATGTAAAACAATAACAATTACTTGGACGCATATTTGACGTATTTGTGACACTTTTCAAGCGACATGCGACACTTTTATGCGAAATATATATATTTAATACGCGACAACAGACGCGAGTTATTGTCATATGGCGACTATTTTTAAAAATCGTTACTTTTACAACTACTTCACTCTATTGAACAATATTTATTCCGTTTTTTGCCTTTTTTCACAATAAATTTATTTTGTTCACTGTTAAAAACGATTTAATAAAATTTATCACGATACATAACTTCAGATCAATAATTGTTGCTTTTAACGTCACAAATAATTGTACTCAATATTATTAAAGCATAGAGTGATTCAAATAGAATCTTTGTTTTAAAATAATCGTATCGATAGAAGTGTCGTTGCTTGACAGAGTTTAGTCGCAGACTAACTATAATGTTAAAACTATTTTATTGTGAGGTCTAACCCTCTGTATTGTCCTTAGTAAAACATATGTTTTAATAATAAAATAAGGAATCCTTTGTACAACTTAAGTACCTAAGGTCATAAAATCAAGCCTATACAGGCTTTCTTATTCTAGCTGCACACATGTGCCTTAAATATGTTTTTCACATTTCAAAACTAATAAAATTAAAATATACTATTTTTCTAAAATAAATATTTCTAAGAACAAAATATCTAAAAAATATAAAACTAAAAATTTTATAACTGGGATTAATTTTTGCTAAAAAAATCCAGCAATAATAATAATTAAAAAACAATAACAATGGTGATAAAAATAATCATAAACATAGAGACAAGATATCGATGATAATTAATTGTGACTCGTGATTAATAGCCTCAACTTAAATATGACGTTCTTTTTATTATTTTTTTGTATAAATATTAATGTTTTTTATTATTTAATACTAAAGTAAGCCTTAATTATTATGGTTTTCAAAAATTTTTAATTCTACTTTCGTTTAACGGGAAAAATATTCTTGAATGATTAACAAAAAAATATATTACGTGTGGATACTTAATGTAACGAGACACATCTCACATAAAACGTTCCTCGATAAGTCTACAGACTGTGAAATGAAGAATATAACACAGAATTGTATAATAAAATATAATAGGAGTGGAATTTATACTTCTGTTCAGATGGGTCACTTCTCTAGTATTTATTCCGTACAAGGACGGATCACCGATCTCCGACTATAGATCTCTGTAATATTATTTCATATTACTATACGTCTCTCATCCTAATTGCTTCGTGTTTACACTATACTCGAGACCGCGATAAGGAGTAGCGATAAGGGATGGAAAAAATTATATTGGGTTATGATCGCACAATGAAGGGACTGTTTTCAGCGAGCAGTGATGCGATAACCTCCACTTTCTCTATACATATACATACAACGGCATTGGATCTTTTATTCGCTCTCTATTACATTTACAAGCGATTAAATTTAATTGATAATTAAGCCCTGTTTACAAACAAATTGTCCGATAAATCCCATGATACTGCGAATTTATTATCCATTTCGCGTGTTACATCGCACGATTTACCTCATAATGTAATATTTTATTTTTCTCCGTCATTCCGTTATTTTCAACTATTTTTAGTGGTCTAACGTTATTGCTATAAATAAAAAACAATTGGAATATTTATTGTGTCTAGGTGGCATTTTTTTTTTTATTACGTATACACGAATTTGACATAAAAAATTGATTTTTATCAGAAAAACAGGCATTTTTATTACTAAAACCGAAAAAAAATTATTTTAAAGTCAACATAAAAAAATATTCGTCATTCGCTTTATTTTATTTATTTAAACCAAAGACAAATTAAAAACAAATATCTGTTGGTTCAGAAAAAAATTGAATTGAATCTAAATATAAATTAAAAATTCACTTTCAAAAATATTTCTTTTTATTAAATGAAAATAATTTCACAAAATTATTACTTTACTGAAAGATTTTTCAATTTTTCATTAATTTTTTCTTCCAAATCCGCGACATTTTCGACTCCAATCCATTCGCCATAATCATCTGAGCTCCTGTGTAACGACAATATTCCCAAAAAAATTTTTCTTAAAGACATTTTTGCATCACAAACGACTACGTTGCTTTTCTGCAAGAATAAAAAAAAATATACCTCTCTTTAGAAAATTTTGATATGAATCATTATCATAAAATTACATCTTGTGAATTTAAATTGTATTAGGCAATTTTTAAAGCTCAAAGCTCAAAAAATGATAACAATATTTAAAAGAAAAAATTATTGCATAAAAAAAACTTGTAAATACTTACTATAGAATCATGCTCCAGCCAAGAACAGAAAAAAGCCGGATCGTGAATATTAGAATTCATTATACCAGTGAAATTCATGTTTAAACAAGGACTTAGATTTAACAAATCATTTCCATCGGATGTAAAACACTTGTTTGTATCAATTTCATTTATGTTTTTGTACAAACTGATGTAGTCTTCAGTAATCGGTTTTCTCGAAATTAAAGTCGCTATACGGCGGTAATTACTGTCGAAAGTTTTTTCTAACTTTTCATTGTAATAAACATCCTCTTTTTCTATTTTATGGCGAATATTTATCGCGCCTTTATTAACTAAGTATATTTTATCGGCATCACCGCTTTTCAACATTCTGAAATTTAAAAATTTTCATTGTAATTAATTTTTATTTATTAACAATTAGCATTAGAAGTAAAAGAGAAAATTATTAGGGGAGGGGGGGGGCAAAATGGGCCCTTGGGGCAAAATGGGCCCCCTAAAATTTTCAATATCCAAAAATATTTGGAGGCAAAATGGGCCCCCAACATTTTCAGCTCTCGAAGTGTTTGGGAGGTACAATGGCGATGTGTGTGTGTGTGCGTGTGTGTGTGTGTGTGTGTGTTTCGTGCATGAACGTAAACCTCTTATAACTTTTAAATGGCTCGACCGATTCAAACGGGATAGACAGCAATCGAAAGAGTTTCTTTGCCCCTAGATATTTTAAACTATTTAAGGTAATTCGGGCCAATTGATTTTAAGTAATCTCGAAAATAAAATTTTCAGGAAATGTTTTTTTTTTTCAAATAAATTTTAATAATCTGCTGAATCAATCGTTTTCAAAAACTAATCAGCCCTTAAGCCCAAAAAACTGCGTCGATCGCCGTCAACGCGACCAAAATCGGTCGATTCGTTTGTGAGGTATCCTGAACAAAATATTTGGAAAAAAGTGTTTTTTTCTTACATAACTCCGACATTTATCCCTGGATCGTTTTTGATTCAACGAGATGATTTTTAGAGCTTAAAAAATCACTTCAATCGCCGCCAATAACGTCAAAATCGGTTGACTGGTTCGAGAGATATTTAATTTAAATAAATTAAAAAAAGTATTTTTTTAACACATCTTTGAAATTTCACGTCTAATTGTTTGGTTGGCGTTAATTCATTTGTGAGATATCGTTATCAAAAAAAATCTAAAAAATTGTTTTTTTTTTTATACATTTTTATTGGCTTCACCTATCGATTCTAAAAACTGATCGGTTTGTAAGCTTGGAAACCCACGTTGATCCTAATTTTTTATACTGAATATATAAAAAAATTCAAAGTACAAAACAAGCAAGGAACATATTGAGTTTTTTGGGGGGGCCCATTTTACCCCACTTTTCTCAATTTTTTAATTTCGATGTACACAAAAAAATTAATACCATAAACGCAGTAAAAGGCCAAAAAAAGTAAAACGAGCTGAAAAACTCATATTATAAAAATTTTCTGAAGGTGGCCCATTTTGCCCCACATTTTCAATTTTTTTTTTTTAATGAACAGAGTAAATTGAGGTCAAATACTTGGCAAGGGACTAAAAAAAAGTAAAACCAGAGAAAAACACTAAGGATATCAACATTTTTTTCTTAAGGGGCCCATTTTGCCCCCCCCCCTTCCCCTACTCAACATAACAGTCGGCATCGGTAATGAAAACTTGAGGGTTGACAAATAAACCATCACATTCGCCGGATATGTTGTGATATTTATCACCAATTAGAACTTTCCAACCGTATAATTGAACATTTGTTTCCGTTAATGCGCTTTTGTTACTCATAAGTACAAAAAAAAGTAAGAAAAATAATTTTTTTACAAAAACAGCCATTGCACAAATTAATTTTTAAAATCTGAAGAAATATTTTTTTTTCATTAAACACTAAAAAAATAAAAATTGATTTTTTCTTTGAATATTAAAAAAAAAATTTTTAGCATTTACATACTTGGTTCTGTAATTTTTATAGACGTTCAAACTCTTTTATCTCTGAAACTGGAATGACTTATATTTTTATTGCAAGAAAAAAAAATTTAAAACGTGTAGATAAAAAATTTTAAAAGCCTTAATAATAATTTTAAAATACACTTGAAATTTTTTATTACATTACTCTCTTATGTAACTTAATTTCGACACAAATAGTTTAATTAATTATTAAGGTCAATTTATCCAATAAAAGTTATTAGAAATGACCGATAAAAAAATCATTTAATAAGTTATTATTATTTTTTTTAGTTGAAATTATTTCTTTTTTAATTATTTAATAATTACTATAGATAAGATATTTTTATACTCATTTTTTTAATCGATAGAAAAAAATTTTTTTGGTAATTCAAAAAGCAATATAATATCGGAAGTAAAATTTTAATGATATAGACAGCTTCAGGATGTCAAAAACCAAAAATAATATTTTTTTTCAGTGCATGGTTTTATAAATAGTAAATTTTTTTAACAAGAATACGAGAAAATCAATCATTATTTACAAGTAAAAAATCATCAGTAACAACCTTTAAACATCATACGTAAAATTTTAATTAAAAATGCCGACATTAAATAATATGTCACCACAAGCACAGTAGAGAAAAATAACTGCAACTGGTTATAAAAAAAAGGCAGCGACCTTTGCAATCCTTTGACTTTGTAAACGTAAACCAGAAAAAAAATAATTTTTTTGAAATAATCCACGTGTGTTATTAGCCATTAAGGGCTCTGTTTCATGTTCACCGCTCATTGTTGTAACCGTGCCCTTTGGGACTGTCCTTTATTCCAATACTTCAAAGTGCTATGCATCAACATTGTATGTACCGCAGTCTTCTGTACTGGAGGTACATTGCGAACTTTTTTTACCTTTGCATTGAGTTAATTACTTCGTTATTTGCTTTATATTGTACTTTTTATTTTCCCCTGCCTCTTACTTCAAATATCTGCGGTTACAAAAAGCGGTATAATTAATAATAGAAAAAAAATTATTAAAGAACTTATTGACATAAAAAAAAATCAAGTTATCGCATTGCACTTTTAAATTTTTCCCCTCTCATCTCATCTGTGGAGCACTGCTTGAATGTTTTTTTTTGTGTTCATTTAAATGTACCCACGTCCTCATACCACCACGTTTGTCGTTTGTCAGTGCTGTACTGTACACGGTGCACATTTTCTCGTAGAGAATAAAAAAGAGTAAGAGTTGCGAAAAAGACAAAAAAAAGTTTTTAAAAGGAATGCACGCGAATGTGCTGTACGCGTGGCTCATTGCTATTGCCGGTGACTGGATGCGAGCCTTGCATTGTCAACATCAACGTTGAAGTACTAATCAAAACCCCTGGTGTCTTTTAAGATTATTAAAATCCGTCCGGGCCTTGAAGTTCTCAAAGGGTTAATTATCCTCCTGGATGTTTATGGCTCAGTTACTCTTTGCTCTTGTTCTACCTCTCGGGGGATTTGCAACATCAGCTATGAAAGATGCAATAATACTAAAAATTATAACAATAGTGGTAAAATGAAAAATGTACTAGGAATTTTTTAAGTTACAATTTTTACGCTAAATAATTTTTACGCTTAATAATTAATATTATTCATGATTTTATATTTTTAAGGAAGACAAGGTAGTTATTATTCAATTTTTATGATAGATTAATAGTGAGTAGAGTGGTGCAAAAAAACGGACTTTTAAATTTTCTTCTGAAAATTAACTAGATAAAAAATTTGAGGTCACTCAAAATTTAAGAAAATTTTTTAAGTTATATTTTTTGCTATTAAAAATTTTTTTTATTATTTGATGATTTTTTAAGGTAAAAATTATTGATATTTAGCAAATTGAAACCCGTAATTTTTATTTTTAGTAGCCCAAAATTAAAAAAAAAATTTTTATTTCGAATCAAGCAAAAAAATCCTTGAATCAAGTAAAATTTTCTTAAACGAAGAGAAATTTTTGCTTGATTAAAAATGATCTATTACTGAAAAAATAATTTTCTCAATTTAACAATTTTTTTTTCACATTGTTCAATTTTTCCATCTGTCTAAGAATTTAATTTATATCCATTTATGTATTTCTTACACACTATCTTTTAATTAAATTAAAATTATTCATCATCATTATCATTGCATTACTACTATCCACAACTTAGTATCCAAAAAATCCGATTAATAAAAATACAAAGGTCATAAGCGATAAAGCAAAGTGGAATTGGAAACCGGTAAATGGTAAGTGTTTAAATCAGTCGTAAGAAGAAATAAGTAATAAGCAATAAATAAAAAAGAAAAAGAAGGAAGGTAGGAAGCTTCTCAGTTGAGCAGTTAAGAAGTTAAGCAAGTAAGCAAGTAATATACCTAATAGGTATGATGGGCGATGGGTTGTGGATGTCGCATCTTTACAAAGTAAACGCGATATCACAAGCACTTATAACCCGTAAGAGTGTACTTAGACAAAGTACTTTTAAGAGGCAATAAGGTGGGATCTGGGATACCATCACCCTTCTCTATATACTCCACACTACATGTGCATCAGTAGCATGCTGATAGGTGTCAAGTGACTCGACGGTCTATCCTTGATAAAGGCGTCATAACGCCCGTACCTACGTGATTGTCAAACTTTAAAAAATAAAATTTCCTTTCCATTTATACACGCACATTTTTTAAACATCTTACATCTCCCATCGCCCATTACAGCCGGCAGACGTTTATGTTTGAGTGCTCGTGAATCCAGAGATACCAATAGACTGAAGAACATTAGCTCCGCAGTGATATATATTTATATATTTATGCATAAGTGAGATATGATTAGCGTTGGGAGGTAAAGACTTTAGCATTAAGTGCGAAGATATATTATTTTTTATTTCAACTTTTAAATGCTATCTGGCGAATGTTAAACGTACCTCTAACTAGAGATTTATTAGACTACGGTACACTGCTAGTTTAAAAATTTACAATAAAGGATTCTATTTAGATAGATGTGTGACAATATTTATGAGTCATAGATGCGATAGTTGAATAATTTAAAGCTTGAATTTTATATTTATTTTGCATAATTTATATAATAGAATTTCAAATTGTCTGATCTAGATAATAGGAAATATTATTAGTGTAATTTCTTTTACTTATAAAATGATGTCGATGGTCTAATTAGCAATTTGTCTAACTCCTTATTTTTTTAGAAGGTAATTTTTTAATATTTTGATACAGCAATAGTCCAACTATAAATTATTTCGATGATCTAAACCAAAATATTATACCTCTATTAGATATTGATGCTATTAAATGGTTTTTTAGAGTGATATTAAATTTTGAATCAATTGTTTTTTTATACAAATGGAAGATTCTCTAAAATAGAGTTAGACAATTTGCTACTTAGAAC